CCCAGCCAGCATGCTGGCTGGGGAATTCTGGGAATTGAAGTCTACACATCTTAAAAGTTGTCAAGGTTGAGAAACACTGCTCTAACCTTTCCTTCAGGGAGTGGCCCAAATGTCAAGGTGGTGGCTATGACCATGCAACTGAAGCCCTGTCCTGTTTTACAGCGGTTGTAGATGTGACACAGGTTAAAAAAAAGGGCTGGACCTGCCCCCTTGACTTTTTAGACCCCTCCTAGAAACTCCTCCAGAAGGTTATAAAAGCAGTGTTACTGGTTCTCTTTCACTGAGGGTATGTTTAACACAGCCCAGTATATTACTTTTAAAAAATAATGTTTTATTCTGTATTTGCACGCCGGTCTTTCTCTCAAGGTCTTGCAAAAAATCTTCCTTGTTGGCTGTTGCAAACAATGCCTTGGGTTAAAGGGGTCTATCAGAAAGACGAGGGAGAAGAGAATGGAAAAAAAGAAAAACAGCCTTGGATTGCTGCACAAGGCACATGCTTACTTAAGGAAAAACGCCATCTCTGCTTTTTTATATTAAAAAATTTATTGAGATGATGTAATTACAAGCATTTAAAAATTATTTGCAACTCACTGGCCCTGAGAAAAGGCATTCTTGTTTGTTACATTCATTCCGCTCACTCCCTTAACCCCACACCTTGAAGAAAGTAGGAAGCGCCATCTTCATCAGATTATAATTTACTTAAGAAAATAATAAAAAAAGAGATTTTTTTTCCTTTTAAAAAAGAAAACAACACGACAGCACAATTTCCTTTTGACTTTGCATATGGCTGCAGCTAATTCAACAGAAACGGTAAAGAGTTTCATTCTTAGTTCTCGTCCGAACTCCGAGCTGTCAGCAATTCTCAGTACAGAGGGGGAATTTCCAAGTGAATTCTTACAAGAGGCTCTTTTCCAAAGTTTTTACCTTTACTTAGCAGATTTTCTATTCCTTTTACTGCTGGCTAAAAGAGGGCTGAGGGCTGCTGGTGCAGCAGAGAATTGCAGAACGTTACGGCAGGAAGAATTTCTTACAAAAGAGACCCACCGCTGCCCTTTCGACGGGCAGCTGTGCATTAATTGCAATGCATACTTTGGCTTCAAAGAAACAAACTCTGTGATTCAGTTCCTGAATATGGAAAACACACTGTTCCAATTTCAGTTTCATCTCACTCTTCAGCATCTATCACAAGCCAGACTCTTTTTCCAGATGCTATATCTTCATAAATAGCTTTGGCCAAAATGCCTGAGTTTGGACAGCCCGGGTGAGTTTAGGACAAGCAAAAACAAGAAGAAAAACCAACCCAACGCCCGCCATCACCATCCAACCCAAAACATCGGGCACCATCTCGTTCTCGGATTTCTGCCTTCTCAGAATGGCAGCCTTTCTCTCCGTTGCAAAGATCTTTCTGCTGGGACTGGGTTAGACGTGATCTGACTGCTTCGCAACTCTTGGCTAACGTGTGGTGGCTACTTAAGTGGCTAATGCAGAAGGAACTGGAGTAGCTTTGAAGCTTTGGTGGGAAAGGAAGAGAAGAAGCTGTAGACAAGGGGCAACACCAATCTTTCTTGTGTTATTTTTTTCATCTGCTGGATTTTAAATAGAAGACACACCTCTCTATCGATAGCAAGTTTCATTTCACTTTGGAATGAAATGGAAAGCAAAGGATTTTTGCTCATCAAAAATTTTGCCTGTGTATGTGTGCGTGTGTCAAGATGGCCACTGTAAACATGAGACTGAAGCCCCCTCCTCTTTTTATGTGCAGGCTTTGACCCCATGATTTGACCCTCTTGACTACCTTAAACACCCCCTCCTGGAGGCCTCTATTGCTAGTTCTTTTTAAGGAATACTCTTGTGAAAAGTGATAAGAAGTCACCTCACCAATGTCTTGGATTGTGTGAACTCACCAACCTTGCCAGGCAAACGCAGAACGATCTTGAGAACCTGAAACATAACTCTCCTTTTCAAAAAGTAACTTTCTAGCCCTTAGCAATTCAGAAGATAGGCTTAAAAGGCTGCAATGAAATTTCAGAAACAAGAAGCGGGATTTCCGGTGATGGGAACTGAAAACGAAATTCAAGACAAGCCTTTGTGCTCCTCAACTTGGAGAAGCAGACTGTGTTACACAAAGTAAAGAAAACAGATGCAAATACACTTCATTTGCCCAGAAGACCCTAATGATGCAATTTCATTATTTTTCCTGACGCCTTTTAGGTTACCGTAAGATTTATATAATCTTGTCCATGGCTTTTATGAAAACAGACACTCTTATGTAGCCAGCATTTTGTCATGACAAATGAACCTCTGAACCCAACAAGGAGTAACATGATTTGTGGTATAGAAGCAGGGATGACTTCAACCTAGAAGAAAGAGTCTGAGTTTTGCAGAACAAAGCCTTCCTACCAACAAAAGGCACATACAAATCTCCTCTTAAGGCTACGAAGCTCATCTGTCGCTGCAAGAATCTAGAACATTGAAATGTAATAAAACTAGTCCTCGGTATTCAAATCCACCTAAGAAATGAGGAAGATGACTAGAAATCTTCAGAGTTGCGCTTGGATAGAGCAGAAGCAAAGGGAATGAGGCAAAGATCAGTCCAGAGATTCCATTCAACCTCTCTGAGCTGTGAAGGCCACTCCTGGGAAAATTACAGCCACCATTTTGGAAATCCTTCCTTCTTTTTTGAGAACCAACTGTTTTCCCCACATACTAGAGGCAATGGCTTGCTCAAACCCCCCTCCAAAGAGAGAGAGAGAAGCCAACACTGAAAACAAACTCACTCCTTACACGCTCCTCTGCCTTGCAGTTGAAACACCTTAGTAACAATTAAGCAAAGATTCCACCCCGTCAACGTGATTTCCATTTAACTTTTCTTGAGCTGGAAAATCCTGGAGAAATCTCCTGCATTTTACTGGAGCTTCTCCTATTCATTTTTCATTTTGACAGTGCTCAGGTGCTTGGATAAAGTCCATGTGCTTTGAGAAGTAGCTGACACTTTCAAGGCTCATCAACGCTCCCCAAATGAGGGCACCCTCTTCCTCATCTGCCACCGGAAAGGCTTCTCTGCGTTTCTTATGCACCAAACCATGGATTGCAGTCCACGTTCTTTGATCTTTGTGCTGACGGCAAATACAAGCAATTTAGGCATCTGGAGGTTCTCTCTGATGCCTTTTGTCTGACACCTGATTTTCCTACAGAGGGCTCTCGTGAGAATCTGCACTGACAGTTGTGCTATATTTCCATAGGAAAGCATTCAGAATACGCAGCCCCCTGACGTTCTGCTCTACAAAAGGAATAAAAAAAGCCCAAATATTAATTG